AGTCCGACTCTGGCTCCTTCCCCCACACGCAGTGGGTCTGGGCCAGGACCGAACTCAGGGTCCTGCGCGTGCAGGTAAACACCCCACGTTGGACCCGCGCTCCCAGGCCCTGCACTTCTAAATTTTCTAGTTGCCACATAAAAAGGAAAAACAGAGAGAAGGGAATGGTGGGGCACGCCTGTAATCCCAGCACTTGGAAGGCTGAAGCAGGAGGATTATTGGGAGTTCGAAGCCAGCTGGGGCTACATAGTAAATTCAAGACCAGCCTGAACTGCATAGTAAGAACAAAAGAACAAAAAGAAAAAAAACAAGTAAAAACAGGCTGGGTGTGGTGGTACATGCTTGTAATCCCAGCACCGTAGGAGGCTGAGGCAGGAGCATTACAAGCTCGAGCCCAGCCTGAGCAAGTTACTGAGAACTTGTTTAAAAAAATAAAGGGATGGGGATGTAGCTCCATGTGAAGGCCCTGGACTCAGTTCCCAGGACTAAACACACACAAAACATGGCATGGTGGTGGCATGGTGGCACCCACTTGTAATCCCAGCATTTAGGAAGGCTGAGGCAGGAGGATCACAAGTCTGAGCTCAGCCTGGGCAGTTTAGGGAAACCTGATCTCAAAACTGAAATGAAAAGGGCTGGGGGTGTAGCTCAGTGGTAGAGGCCCTGGCTAGCAAGTGCAAGGCCCTGGGTCAGGCTTTCAGAGCTAGGCCTCAAAGGTTCAAATCTTGCTTCTACTACCATCCACCTTGGCAACTTTTTAAATCTCTGTCTCAGCGGTGGCACTGGAAGTCCACCTCCACGGGACAGCAGCAGCTACCCCCACAGAGCATACAGTAAGTGCTCCACAGAGGCTGTCTTTCCTGACATGCGCATTACAGTCAGAGAACGCAGGCCAGGGCGACCACAGGTCCCGGGAAGACGAGGCCCTGTCCCCACGAGTGCATCACAGGAATCAGCCCAGACCCTGCCACAGTGACCCCAAGAAGGCAGGCATTTTCTGGGGAGGAGACGCCTGACCCTCCAGCTGCAGGAGGCCCCCATTCCTTCCTCAGCAGGGACATGGCCATAAACTCTGCCCTGGCCCCTGGGAGCAAGGGTGGGTGGCTGAGCTCCCCACATGTCCCCCCAGGAAGACACCTGTGTAATTATTGGGAGATATTTAATTTTGGTTTTTCTGTTTGTTTGTTTTTTGAGACAGGGTCTCACTTTGTAGCCCAAGCTGGTCTCGAACTCTCAGCATCCTCCTGCCTCAGCCTCCCGAGTGCTGGGATTGCAGGCATGTGCCACCATGCCTGGCTGAGCATGTTTAATTTTGATGTAGACATATGAAGAGTTTAGGATGCAAAGCAGATAGGAGGCAGGAAAACCCGCAGCTCCCACGCACACTCTCTCCTGCACTCACTTCTTGCTGCCACGGTTGAAGTCCACGGGTTTAAGTCCTTCAGCATGGCTCTGCCGGGCACCGAGCAGACCTCGCAGCAGGGATGGAAACAGACCCAGCCCTGCCCGGCAGTGCTGGGCACAGAGTGTGACCCGGGGCCCGCCGAGCCTGCCACCGGCATGCCCACTCTCTGTCTCCTGCGGCAGCCGCAGAGGGGCTGCACGGGACCGCCGGCATCACGCCCGCAGGGCAACTGCGACCTCTGTGGCTGCTGCTGCCCCCGCCCTGTCCCCACCGTCAAAAGCGCTGGGATTTTGGAGAGTGCTGCTGCCCTCACCAGCCCCCTGCGGCCAGCCGGGCTGTCTCCAGGGCGCGCGGCCTGGCATTTGCTTTATTCCGAGTGTGTTCGCAAGGTTTTCCTGCTCGGCTTTGTTCTCTCACCCTGAGAACCAGTGTGGCCGGAAGCTTTTGTCCCCAGCAGCGCTCTTGCTTACCGGCCAGGGGCCCTGCGGCAGCGAAAGGTCACCTCCTTGCACCTACCCCGCTACAAGCCCGCCACGGGAGGGGCCAGCTCCAGGTCACAGGGAGCCCGTGGAGTCCCAAAGGCAGTGACAGCCCTGCGTCGCTCCGTCAGCTGAGCTCGGCTGCAAAAGCCACCTCCCCGTCCAGTTCCAAAGCGTGCACTCCGTCCGACCTCTGGACCGTGCCACACGGAGCCCTTGCTTTTCTTCTTTTTCTACTGTTACTTTGAGACACAGACTTGCTAAGTTGTCCAGACTTCTTTGAGGACGTGACCCTCCTGCCTCAGCCTCCCGAGTAGCTGGGATCACAGGTCTGTGGCACCACGCAGGGCTGTTTCTCTAGGGCAGATTCTCAGCAGTGGGAACACTGGGTCCAACCCGCATGCTGGTGGCCGTGGCGGGTGCTGAGGAGGAGGCACACGCGCTCGCAGGCACGCTGGACTGACTCGCTCCCAGCGCACGGCCAGCCAGGGCTATGCTGCGCGAGGGGCCCAGGACAGCGCCCACGAGCCCCCAAGGGCCCTGAGGGCCCCGCCGCGTGGCCGGCCTCACTCTCCCCCGTCACCTCGGCCGGCCACCTGCTCCCCTTGGGCCCACAGCAAGCCCAGGGCCTCGCTGACAGGCGCTGAGGACTGTGTTCCTGCTTCCTTCTTTCCGTTTCCGTTTTCCGGTACTGCGCATGGAACCCGGCTGGGCTGGCATCGTGACCCTGCTGCCTGGGACCCACAGTGCCCCTTTCCTCAGACTCTGCCCCGGGGCGTCTCGGGGGCTCCTGCTCCTCCCGCGTCCTGGGGCCCTTCACGCTGCTCCCCTGGCATCAGCCTTAGGCAAATCTTGCCTGGCTCTGGCTCTCAGGGCCTCTGCTGGGCCAGCGACAGACAGACGGCCAACGGGAGAGCGGCCTCCCTCCTGGCCGGGCAGCCCCCCACCCTTACTTGGCCTCAGGTAACCTGCTCTGCGGCCAGGGAGGCGGCTTGCATAATCAGCGCCCTTAGGATGCTGCCTCTCCGGCCTGACGTGGCGCGGCTCCCTCAGCCGGAAGGAGCCCCCGTGCGTGGACACCCTCTAGTTCTCGCAAGTGGACACAGGGCCCTGCCGTGCGCGGCTCTCACAGCGCGGCCTTTTAAAATCTTCCGCGCTCGCTGCGTTTTCTTCTGCACATGTTGCTCTCCTGATGCGAAAACCGCTCCCAGGAACCGGGCCAGCGTCTCGCTGGGAAAAGGCTGCGCAGTGCTGGCCCGGAGGGGGACCGCCCTGGGCGTGCGCCGGGGCCGGGGTTCCCCGCATCTGCAGTTCCCCCTGCTGAAAAGACGGAGGTGAGCACTTTCCACCCAGGCACCCCACACTCGCAGGAAGGGCCAGGGCTGCGTCTCAGATGACACAGAACACGCTCCTGGGTGAGGCACGGAGGTGTCAGACCCTGGGCAGCACGGCACCAGGTAGCTCCTGCCCGGGGTTCCTGCGGTGCAGAAGTCTGAGAACACAGATCCAGGCTCCTTTCCTGGGGCAAGGAACAGGAGAATGTGACACCAAAACCAAACGCTGGAACGTAGGCAAGTTCAATACACTGACTGGGCGACAGTTGTCCTTGGAGCTGGCAGCTTCCTGCTCACTCTTCAGTCAGTCAGTCAATCAACAAACACGCTATTGAGCACCTCTGGGAATACACTGTTGGCCCTGGCCACTAGGATTCTCCCATCTGGTGGGAGAGAAACTGGTGTGCCCCAGTCAGAGAGCAGCAGTGCAGGGCTGAGCCACAGCGCCCCCCACTCAGCCACACAGCCCCCCCCACAGCAGCCAGCACCTCACCCCTCGGGCTCCCCCACAAACCTCACAGGTGCACTGGGCCGTTGCCATGGGAACGGGGCTCCTGCAGTCCTCCCTCTGGCATCCGAAGTCTCGCTCTGAATGTCACGTTGCAGCCCAGCGTGGGCACTGAATTCTGAGTCACTTCCCTTTTGGGGGTGAGGCCAGGCGTGCGCGTGTGTGTGTGCACACGTGTGCACGCTCATGAGGTGTGAGCCTGGGCTTTTCCGTGCAGCCACCGCCTGCGTCTCCGCGTCTGGTCAGCCAGGCTGGGCCCCGGGCTACGGCTCCAGGCCTCAGAAGAGCCCGCCCGGCCCCGGCCCCGGCCCCGCCAGCTCTCGCTGCCCACGGCCCCAAGGCGGAAACTTGTGGAGGTGCCACGCCACCACCGCTGCGGCCCGGACTCGCACGAGGGGGCCTAAGCGCAGGGGGACAGGAAGCGCCAGGGGCTCGCTCAGGAGCACCAGGGCGGCCGCCTGCCCACAGGTCCCCGGTCCCGGCCCACCGAGTGCTCGCAAACCAGCGAGGACCCACTGCCCGGGGACGGACCGAGCCCTGGCTCTGCGGAGGCTGCGGACCGCTGAGCTGTGCCCTCCTGCGTCACACACCGGCGTGGCCAGCGTGGCCCCGGTGAGGGGGGGATGGCCTTCCAGCCCGGAGAGCCAGGGAACAGGCACCACAACGCCACCCTCCTTCCTCGGGCTTCCGGCCAGGCCCCCATCCACGGGACCCACGCAGCCACAAGGCCAGGAAGCACTAAGCTCCACCTCGGAGCAGAGGCGACAGGGACTCTGGAGGGACAGAAGGACGCTATCTGGCCCGGGCACTCACCCTTACCCCTTGGCCTCCCTTCCCGGAACGCCTGTCCCCACCTCTCATGTGCTGATCCTAAGCGGTGTAACAGGGGCTGAGCCTGGCCGGCTTCCCCTCCTCTAACGGCACTTCCAGCCCCAAGGTCCCCGCGGCAAGTGCCACCCATCCCATGCTGTGGCGTGAGATTTTCAAACTCTCCAAGAAGTTTCTCCTAACCCTCCCCCGCCTTCCAGCTGCCTCACTGCAGCCCGGTGAGACTTTCCCAGGGCCAGGACGGCAGAGCAAAGCTGTCGCCCATCCGCGGGGCCCCGCACTTGGGTGGGGCTGAGGAAGGACCCCACTCCAGGGTGTGCAGCTGGTCCCTGCCGTGGAGGTGGGGGACCGCGTCTTTCCAAAGCCAGGCTCCAGGAAGGCCTGGCCCCGGGGCACCTGCGGGACCCCAGCCTGTGCCTGCTCACACCCCTGCTGCTTCCTTGCAGGTCCGCAGCCCCCAGCCACAACCACACCCGGCCAGCACAACGCCAGCAGCAGCGAGGCCCCGGAGCCAGGTGAGCGGCCCTCCCTCAGGCCTCTGGGCCGCAAGGCAAGGGGCAGAGAGGCGGGTGAGGGCACCCAGGCTCCTCTCCTCCTGGCCTGGGGTACAAGTTCCCGTTAGATCCCCCGAGAACCCAGCGGGGAGGGATGCAGGGCGCCCACTGGGCCAGGACACAATGGCTACAAGGGGGTCCCCGAGACAGAGCGAGTCAGGCCTCTCTCACCCTGGCTGGACACACCCTGACCTCCAGTCACCCTTGCGTGCTTTCTCCTGACTGACCAATAGCAGCCCCTCTCTCCTAGCCCCATTTTGCAGACTGGAAGGCTGAGGCCCAGGTGTGGGAAAGGGGTGGCCATCAGCCGACCCTCTCCCTCCAGGTCTCGGGGTGCGCCTGGCCAACCGGAGCAGCCACTGCCACGGGGAGGTGGAGGCCAGGCTCGGGGCCCGCTGGGCGCCTGCGTGCGCGGCGCAGTGGGACCACCAGGC